ACGCTAGCAGTGGTATAGAATTCGTCACTTTCCACCTGGACTCCTGACGATGATGCCGAGGTTATTGCTGCATTTGACGCGGTGTGGATAGGACTGGATAACGTTGTGCTGGTTCCAGATACAGCGCTGGATTCAGATCCTCCAGTGTAGGCATACCACGCTCCCGTGGCTACAAGACTCGAAGCAAAAGCCAAAGATAGGTTTCTAAAGATCATCGAGGACTGAAGGATGACAGTATGGCGCGGTACGGTAGGTCTTGACGTTGTAAGGCCTCGTAGGCCTATATCATGATATCGGGGGGAGTGGTGGAGTGCGTTGCCTGGTCTAAAGCATGGCCTTCGCAGTGGATACCGGCGGGCGGTTCGGAAAGAGTGGGCGACTACTCGACGCATCTGAGCATGGGATATCGGTCTGGAGGAAAGTGATAGCAACCGCCGCTGTTGCTTGGAACTTCTATTCTTCTAGCTCGCTTCGCTGCCTCTTTTATCTCGCTGGCGATAATAATAAGTTGTTTATGATAACTTCAAGGATGCTTTAAAGTTATTGGTCTCGTGACAAGGCTGATGTAATCATTAACTAACTTAGTTAACTAGGCCCGATTGGTGTTCCGCCAAAGCGCCCTTGACCTTCCCAAGATACAAGCAAAGATATTTATATCAGTCCAAGCCAGGCTTGAGTTTTATATTTTCGTACAGGCTGGAGAGTCAGCAAAATAATCACAGGAGAAGGAAAGAATTATAAGTCAAAATGTCGTCTCGAGCCTTACGAAAATTACAAAAGCAAAAAGAAGCCCAGCAAGATATAGAGGCGCAAAATGACTCGGGAGATAGCGAACAAGATATCCCAGTTTCACGGCCAAAGATCAATGCTTTTGATCTATTAGGCGACCAAGGTGGCGATGAAGATCGAGATGATTCGCTTGAATCTGAGCTAGAAAGATCCGTTACTGAAGGGGACCATAACCTTGCCCCGCCGTTGGAGGTCTCAAAAGCTACCAGCGGCAGCAAGAAGAAGAAGAAAAAGAAGACCAAGAAACAGCAGTCAAAGAAAATTACAGGGCCAGCAGAAGCGAATACCCCAGAGCCCCAAGCCCCGGGGGTTGATGAGATAGACTTAGCTCTTGAAGCTTTGGCACTTAAGCATCCTACACCAGAGGACCAAAATGTCCAACCGGGAAGGGACCTTCCTGGCTCTTCTGAGCAGGGTTTATGTGCTCTCTTGGAAGTAGATGCCAAAAAGCTCGTTGCCATGAATGAAATGAAAAGACTCTTTGGAAATGCTGCCGTGGAAAGCCGGACCTCTCCATCTGATAGCCTACCTGGAAACAGGCGGAGAGAGCGGAATAGGCGAGCCCTAGACTTAGGGGCCGCGTTAACCGGAAGGTACAGCCCTGCGAGTAGGGGACAGGACCTCTCGGGAGTTGCACTGCGTAAAAACGTGCTTATGCAAGGCAAAGCTGAGTGGCCAAAGGCGACGAGTGGTGGTTTGGGGATGGAAGTTGTCCAGAAATCACCTACAGGAGTTATGGAATATGAAATACTTCATAATATAGCTTATAAGGATGTCCAGCGTCAGTTTGACATGTGCGTGGAGTCGATGCAACCCGAAAGAATGATAGAGTTACTTCAATATAATCGTGAGTTTTTTTACCACCTCCTTACCCTTTCGTGTCGCTGCAAGTGCTTACAAATTCTAAGCGTATCATATATCAACACTACTTCAGGTTTCTGAGATTGCAAAGCACCAAGGAGACCATGCGGTATCAGCTGACCTCTTGGAAAGAGCGCTGTTTAACATTGGACGTTCAGCCCAGTCTTCATTTGGCAACTCTATAAAGGAGGGAAAGGCTCGACTGGATTTCACAATAAAGGAAAATCGTGAGGTATGGCTTGCGGGCTGGAGGTATATTATTAACCTGGGGATGAAGGGTACCTGGAAGACAGCATACGAGTGGACGAAGTTCCTCCTGAGCCTTGACCCGGACGACCCGTATTGCTTATGTCTGATCATTGACCATATTGCGATACGAGCAAGGGAACTGCAGCATTTTGTTGATCTGTGCCTACACCCTAGCTTTAAGAAGCGGTGGCATTTGTTTCCTAACATCCAGTGCTCCCTTGCCTTAGCATATATGTACTTGAGGAAACCAAAGGAGTGCCGAGAGATCCTCCATTCAGCCATGCCCAAATATCCCTGGATATTTTGTCGTCTCACACAGGAATTAAACATATCCCCCGTGCCGAAAGCAATCTGGGGCGCGCAAGCACCCAACACAGCCCATGATCTACTCTGTGAACTCTACATAGCTAGGGCCAAAGATATATGGAATACTCCCGAGGCCACTTCTCTCCTGGTAGAAGTTGCCGACTCTATTCCGACAACTGAGAAGCCTCCCCAAGCACCTGAGATATCACAGAACCTTGCACGGCATGTTATACTATCAGACATATCATCCGTGACGACCCACCTCCCACGCCACTTCACCATCCGACAAATATCAGCATCGGACCCATTACCACCAAATCAGGTTGGGCTGTCTACCGGTCGCGCTGCGTCCATGATGGATGAGGTACTTCAGTTATTCGGCGTAAATGAGCCAGACCACATTCAAACTGGGCGCCATGACCATAGACAGATCGACGACGAAGAAAACACTGACTCGGGGGAAGAATTGGACATGGCCGGCGTGTATCTGCCTCCGTCACAAGTCCCAGAGTGGCTTCTTGCTGGGGGGCAAGAGGAGCTCGCGGAATTCTTCAGAATCAATGGTGTGGATCCTGGAAATTGGGAGGAGGGGGTTAACATGCTGCCCATCCAACGATGGGTGAGAACCCTCCAGCGTCTGGACAGACAAGACTGGCGCCGAACCATCTCCACTGTCGCTGCATCGCTGGGCTCATCTACTGAGATGATCGAAATGGTGCTGCTCGAGGAACTAGAACAACAGACCAGCGCCAGTTAACTAGCTAATGGTATATACTGCGGAGTACTCCGTAACTATCAGCTGTACCAGTAATCCCCGGTGTGGAAATGCTCTGTACTCTGTTTGATAGCTCGCCGTGTCGTGTCTAAGACAAGCTGAATATAATAATAATAACACTAAGAAAAAGTCGAAGCCTCGCCAAGCTGGCGCCGTTTTGATGACGCATCAAGACAGAAACTTATTTTCTTTCCTTTTTATTATTAGTTAACAAACTACTTATTCACTCTAGCTAACGAACTATCCAAGCCCTTATCAGCAGTGGCGCTATAGCCGATGGGAGAGGACCGTAGTGAATCATTTTTATGCTCGCTGCAAGGGTTCGTTTTTCATGAGAATGCTAAGGATGCTAGGAGCCTAACAAGACTGCATCATCGAGAGCTAGCTCTTGCTTGCGAAGCTTGAGAAGCCCGACTTTTCTGCTCGGTTAACTAACTACTTACTTGAGCATCACCGGAGTAGCAGGAGGGGGGGAAAGCACCATGGCTGTCCCATTAACGCATCGAGAGGCAGCTTCGGGGATCCTGGGCTCGATATCCCTTGCTTGCTGGATATTTCTCCTGGTACGTTACTCTCGCGAGTTATTTTCCCACGGTATGCCCAAGCTAACATGTGAAGGTCCCCCAATTAATCGAGAACTACAAGAATGGCAGTGCCAAAGCCATATCTTTTGCCTTTATTCTCGTCTGGTTTATTGGAGATGTTGCAAACTTGATAGGAGCTCTGTGGGCTAAGCTGGTTCCCGTGGTGGTAGCTATAGCCATATACTTCTGCATCGCGGACGGAGTGTTGATATGCCAGTGCATATACTACAACGAGAAAGTCTCACGGGAGATGGAGAGACGGATTTCGAGACATACAGCGTATGAAGATGATGGAACCCACGTTCCCCAGCCAACGACACCGCTATTAAGCCGACGGATGAGCGAGAATCTCGGGCAAAGCGGACGAAGGAGGCCTGATGGCAACTCGCTCAACCATGACCCCTTGGCAAAGATGCTGGCAGAGGACGAGCCAAAGAGCACTTGGGCTAAGAATATACTGAGCCTATTGGGAATCTGCACTGCGGGTATTGCTGGCTGGGTGATCGCATGGAAGACGGGTGCATGGCAACCGACTCCTATCCAACCCATCAAAGGGCCAGCTGAGATGGCTGTGGGAGCGCAGGTCGCTGGGTATCTAAGTGCATTGTGCTATCTAGGGTGAGAGCGCAGTCCTTCGTACTGCGTATATACTATTTGCGTTAACTAAGCCTCCGATAGTGCTCGAATTCCACAGATTATCAAGAATTACAAAGAGAAGTCGTGTGAAGGTGAGCATCCATCGATATTGAACCCGCAAAATATGAATTGAATTTGAACTGACAGTCGGGGGGTAGGGCTCGCTCTTTTATTCTTCGTGTTTTCTTTACTTGGCAACGCTACGTATGGAGCAGGGGTAAGCGGTCCTTCATGCACCTAGTTTTACCTGCCCTTCTATTCGATTCTGACGGTCACACTAGATACTATTCCATTCTACGGAAAGAGAATATATTTTGACCAACCTGCCGTGGCTTCTAGGGTCGCTAGGTACCATTGCCGAAGATATTATTATTTTTGCGCAGTTCCGAGTATACGCAACTCAGGAGCCGGTGTCTTTGGCAGTAGCCTAGCGAGCGGTGTATATTATTACTTTCCCTTCTGCTGCTCTTGCAGCATTCCCCAAGATCAAGAGACGTGCCTCAAAAATGAAAAGAAGAAGATTATCCAAGGCGATGGCGCACAATTCACATTTCTTTTTTTGAGATTAATCTGGCAGCTCGGAAATATATTTTTTTCATCACGACATGACATGGTAAAAAAAAGGATGAAAGGACAATATCTTTCATTCAGAAGGTATTTGCGCCACCCAATGACTGGTTTCTATTAAAAGATTCCGACCCGGCAGTGGGTAGCACGACCGTTTTTGCAAGCGCCTCGTGTTGTGCATCCATCTTTTATGAATATGGGTACAAGGGAAAAAAAGATTCGTAAGAAGGCGTTTAATCGAAAAGACCGAAGCCCATGTCCTCGTCGGACTCCTCGGCCTCTGTAAATCGGAGAAAACCGCACGTTAGTCGAATGTCGTTCATAAAGAGGCTGAAGACTCTCGTTTGAGCCAAAGAAATATATGGGAATTTTCACGTACCCTCGGCCTTTTCTTCCTCAGCTGGAGCAGCCTCAGCAGCGGCAGCACCACCAGCAGCAGGAGCACCACCGGCGGCAGGGGCACCACCACCAGAGCCAACGTTGACTAGGATGTCCTTCAAGTTCTTGCCATCGAGAGCCTTAAGTCCAACACAAAAAAAGGTTCCAATTAGCACAAGTTCACCCGAGCAGACTTCTGCGTAAGCCCTGATTATCTGCAGAAAGTAGGATATACCTTGGCGAAAAGAGAGGTCCAGATGGGCTCAACATCGGTCACACCAGCGGCCTTGATGAGGGTTTGGAGCTTGTCGGACTAGAGAGAAAGCAGACAGTCAGTTCTGATTCTGATTTATTCCCACCCGGCCAGAATTATCAATTTGACATGCGGACGCGCGCGTAATCAAGTATTGACGGAACCAAAGCTGGGATGGCAGAGATCCAGGGACTGCGCTCACAGTGATCTCGATATCCTCATCGGCGAGGATGAGGGCGGCGTAGGAGACGGCAAGCTCGGCGGAAGACATTGTGCAGAGGCGTATGCGAATCTGTCTCTGGGGGTGTGAGATGAGAGAAGGACGGACGTTGCAGGTTGAAAGGTCGTTCGTGTGCAAGCGAGAACTTGGAACTTCGTCTTTCGATCGCCAAACGCCTTTTTTTTGTGTGCAAAAAGCTAGCTCGCTTACCCAATCACGGGACCACGATAAATCCAATCCATCGATTTGAAAGGGAGGCCTTCCAGAGTTTGGCCCGTGCGTCTACCTTAACAGGAACCCTCACGTGATCCGCCCCGCGCTCAGGTGGAGGAAGTGATGCAAACAGGACAAACAGGACAAACAAGACAAACAAGGACGTCCCAGGGGTGCAAACATGCCCGTCGCGGCCCCGCCAGGAAAGAAGAAAAGAAAAGGCGAGCGACGGCCATTTGCTGATGCCTCTTATTGCATGCCTTACAGCTTCTACGGAGTACATGACACCGAGACGGGCCACGGAAGAGCAGCCCATCGAGCAGCCGCCAGAGGAGCTAGAGGACCGTCGAGTGAAGCAAGGACAGCTCTGAACGTCAAACGCACGCAACAAGCAGCAGCAGACAGAACATGGCAGATTCCCCCGCCGTCTTTGCCCCGGTTGACCCGGCAGAGCAGCCGATACTCGAGCGCCTCATAACTATACGGGACGGCTTGGTGCTGATCAAGCAGGACAAATCTACATACGTCAAGTCCCATGATGTTATTCCTTTCTACGATCAGGCTATCGAGCAGGTGCAGATATTGAACCAACATCGTGCAGGCCGGAGAGTGGCTCAAAACAGAGGTAGGCAAAGGGCCTATGCGTTTTGGCAGGTTTTACTTCATATTTACACCATCAGTGAAGCGCCCCCGTCGTTTTCTACCTGGTTTCTAATGGATTTCTAGTTGACAATGTTTTGGACGATTGCTTTCAATTAATCTCACTGCTGTTTCTAACTGTTGGGAAGAACAACGAAGCACCAGCTGTGTACGTGTCCAAGCTTCCGGGTGGCTCCCAACGTACTAATTCGCTAACTATTGTTCCCTCTACTAGATATTCCATGGTCTCTACTATCAAGGTACCGCCTTGAACAGGTGCTCCTACTTCCATGTTTCTTGCTAACCGTTTACCCAGCGATTACTGGACCACCTCAGAGAGGCAGCGTTCTTCAGCCAGAAGGACCTCGACTCGATAAGCGGCAGTCTTGATGGAGTCGAAAGCAATATACGCCGTGGCAAAGATACATACTCACCTCATCTGCTCACACTCCTTGAGACTAGATTGGAGACGTGCCGCTCTCAATTGGCTGAATTACAACACGATCTCTCCTTGCTTTCTCCAGAGCTCACCCCAACGCACGAAATTCTAGTGTCCATATTAAGGTCTACCTCCGCAGCAAACACAAGGTCCAAGGTAAGCAGCTATAGTTTACTCCACTGCAATGCTGATGGTTTATGTGGTTAGATGCATGCTGACGTCATGATCTAGTTTTCTGCATCTGAGGTGCTCGGTTTTAAAGACCAGCTGAATGCAATCAAGTCTAAAATGGTTGATGGAAACTTTGTGGCTGCTAATGGATCCATTCCTGCTGGCCAAAGAATAGTGAAAGACTTACTAGAAAAGTGTTTCAAATGGTCCGATATCGTACTTGAGCGGTAAGAGCCCTCGCTATTTCCCCCTATTGCCGGGTATCCTATAGCTAATGCCATTTGAACAGACAAGGACAGGTCAACGAAGCTTTCTTAGATTACTATAATCAACTTATCGATATCAGAAACCAGCTTGACAGGTTGTCTATGACTCATGCGTGGTCATTACGTGAATCAGACCTCTACATGTATCAGAGAAAACTCAACAAAATCGACGAATGCCGAGTGGATGGTAACTTTTTGGATGCATCAGGAAAGCCTGCTGATCTACATGCACAAAGAGTAAGTGCATTATCTTGCAGTATAATTTTTTTTTGATAAAACACCTATACTAACAAAGTTAATCAGACCCTTCTTTACCTAATTCGGCGAAGCTACGCCTTGATATATGGACTTCTTGTTTCCTCTGAGCCAGTATCAGAAGCACTGCTGCCGATATATAATCAGCTACAAACACTAAGAAAGTGTCTAATAGAAGTCAAGGAATCAGGAGGAGTATCGAGTGCCAGAGAGCTTTACCCATATAGTATGAAGGTGAGTCACGCGCTGGGTGTCCCCATGCCTCGCTTCGCTATGAAGAAATTCGCTAACTTCTCGTAGCTCAATTCGATTGACAACATGCGAGTTGATGGCAAATTCTACATCGGTTCAGACCTCCCCGAGGGCCAAGGCGGTGTCAACGAGCTTCTTGCAGAATGCTATGACCTCTGCTACGATCTACGTGCAGATGCTGAAGACATAGCTTCCCCCCAGTCATGAATGGACATATTCTGCCTTCACAGAAACATATTTAGCCATAATGCAACCAGGACAACATTTGCTATCCCATCATAGGTGTTTGGTTACGAGTTTTTATGACCGTTTTTCTTGTTTTATTCCCGTGTACGATGATTACTTTTTTCACCGTCCCTTTTATACTTTTGAAAAGCAGTTGGAACATATTTTGCAGAGTTCCTCATGTTTCTCCGGAGTTCAGTCGCTCCCAGACGTCCATAATCTATACAGCGGTCCTTGCCACCCCCATAGACACACAAGGGGTGATTCCGGTCATCTCGTTCGTTGGAATTCCGAGTAATCAGCAAATGATAATACATACTCAAGAGGCAAAAAGAAATAACTGCACCGTTCACTAAAATGCCGATGTCGGGATTTAGACTTTTAGCCCCATCCAGCCAATGACGTGCGAGACAAAAAAATTGCCGGGCTCATATAACACTTTTTTCCTTCCCCCTCGACAAGAAGAACACATTTAAGCTGTTAGATACACAGAGGGGGCCATTATGGCGATGCAGATTCTTCGTCGGGGCTGTGTCCATGGGGCTTAAGGTAAGTTTGTCGCTCAATTGTTTGCTTTCTCCTGTTGGATGAAGCTATCTTCTAACCCTGCAAGCATAATTAGCTCACACGATCGCTCAGGCGCTCTGGGCTGCGCTTTCGTGGACTGGCAACAGTCACATCTTCATCCGCGCCCTCACCTCGTTCTCCTCCGTATCCCAAGATTCTCAGCAAACTTAATGAAGTTAGGAGGGTACTAGGCGCATCAAGACCGTTAACCCTCGCCGAAAAGAACCTATATTCCCACCTTGACAATGTCGAGGAGTCATTGCTCACAGATACGCAGAATGGCACACAGGTTCGAGGACGAGCCAACTTGAAGCTTAAGCCCGACAGAGTCGCTATGCAGGATGCTTCTGCTCAAATGGCCCTTCTCCAGTTTATGTCCTGTGGCCTTCCATCAACGGCCGTCCCAGCTAGCATCCATTGTGACCGCATGATAGTTGGAGAGAAAGGAGCTGATGTCGATCTTCCAGCGTCCATCAAGGGAAATAAAGAGGTCTTTGACTTTCTTGAGTCCGCCGCAAAGAAGTATGGAATTGAATTCTGGCCTCCAGGCGCAGGGATCATTCATCAAACTGTCTTGGAGAACTACGCTGCACCAGGACTGCTGATGCTTGGTACTGACAGCCACACCCCCAACGGTGGTGGATTGGGTGCCATTGCCATTGGTGTAGGTGGCGCTGATGCTGTGGATGCCTTGGTAGATGCCCCTTGGGAGCTCAAGGCTCCTAAAATTTTAGGTGTCCGCCTCGAAGGTGCGCTCAGTGGCTGGGCATCTCCAAAGGACATCATCCTCCATTTGGCTGGTAAACTTACTGTACGCGGTGGAACTGGATTCATCATCGAATACCACGGCCCAGGCGTGGAAACACTCAGCTGTACTGGCCTCGCTACCATTTGTAACATGGGGGCTGAAGTTGGCGCCACGACTTCACTATTCCCATTCGCACCTAGTATGATACCATATCTACAAGCTACCAATCGGTCGGAAATAGCCAAGTCTGCTTCAGATATTGCATCTTCTGGTCCACAGAACTTGCTTCGAGCTGACCCGGGTGCCGAATATGACCAACTTATTACAATTGATCTTTCCACTCTCGAGCCTCATATTAATGGACCATTCACTCCAGACCTTTCCATTCCTCTGTCAGCCTTTGCAGACACGGTTCGCGAAAAGAAATGGCCTGAAACATTCGGTGCTGGTTTGATTGGAAGCTGCACTAACAGCTCCTACCAAGACATGACACGTTCTGAGGATCTCGTCAAGCAAGCTTCTGCAGCTGGCCTGCGACCAAAGGCGGACTTCTTCATTACTCCTGGAAGCGAGCAGATACGAGCCACTCTAGAGCGTGATCAGACACTATCCACCTTTGCATCTGCTGGAGGCACGGTCCTTGCAAATGCGTGCGGACCGTGTATAGGACAATGGAAACGAACTGACGGAGTGAAGAAGGGTGAATTGAATGCCATCCTTACCTCCTATAATCGAAACTTTCGTGGCCGAAATGACGGTAACACTGCAACAATGAACTTTCTTGCTTCTCCTGAGATTGTCACAGCCATGTCCTATGCTGGATCAACCACCTTCAACCCAATGACCGACTCTCTTACAACCCCCAGTGGAGAATCATTTAAGTTCACCGCACCAGTTGGATCTGATCTTCCTTCTGCTGGATTTGCAGCCGGAAATCCAGACTTCCAACCGTCTGCTGCTGTCCCGGATCCATCTGCCGAGGTTGTGGTTTCCCCAACATCTGACCGTCTTGCTCTTCTTGAGCCCTTTGATCCATTCCCGGCCCACGATCTTTCCTCTCTTCGGGTTCTTTATAAAGTTAAAGGACATTGTACTACTGATACCATATCTGCTGCCGGACCTTGGTTGAAGTATAAAGGCCACCTCCCGAATATCTCTGCCAATACTTTGATTGGAGCTATCAATGCTGCTACAGGCGAAACTAACGTCGCCTACGATGTCGACGGCAAGACCTATTCTATTCCAGAGCTAGCTGATAAATGGAAGAACGAAGGCAGCCAGTGGCTCGTTGTTGCTGAGGAAAACTATGGTGAAGGAAGTGCGCGAGAGCACGCTGCCTTGCAGCCTAGATATCTGGGTGGAAGAATAATCGTGGCAAAGTCGTTTGCTAGAATTCATGAAACCAACCTCAAGAAACAAGGCACTGTGCCGCTTACATTCAAAGACAAGGCTGATTACGATAAGATAGATGCTTGTGATGAGGTTGAGACGGTTGGCCTCTACGATCTACTGAACAATGACGGCCAGGGCGAAGTTACCCTGAAAGTCACTAAGAAGCCTAGCGGAGAAACAATCATTATCCCTGTCAACCACACTTTAAGCAAGGACCAGTGTGGCTTCATTCTCGCTGGCAGTGCATTGAACCTTCTTGCTGCCAAATCTCGATAAAGTACTCTTATTCCTCCCTTTGGCTTTCTGATACCGTGTTCATTTTGCGCTCAGTTATGTTTTTTGTTTTTGGTTTCTTCTCATATACCAGTTTGGGCCTTTTGTTGATGTCCTATCAATAGAATCGTTTGTAGGTATTACAGTTATTTGGATAAAATATCCCAATTTCTTCAAATTCCACGTTCGGGGTACCGGTTTTAATAAATACAGTAGAAATATTTTATCAAAGAATATTGAACCATTACCTCGTCCATTTCTGTAAATTGGACCAGGTTCCCCAGGGATACTCTCAAATAACGAACCTTCACCATGGCAATCTACCTTAGACGCAAGTCACCCGAATTACGTTATCTCAAACATACACTGAGAGAAGGTCCCCGCCATTGATAGTCGGCCGTAGCGAAGGCTAGTGTTCAACTCCGTTTCAACTAAAGTGCCGTAGTTCCAGAATAGAAGCGCCTTTACTTCGCTGTCTGACTTCCTACAAAGGCTTAAAGCATCATCGGAGACAATCATTCAGCTTATACGTGGTCTGCCAGGGTAAATACTGATTGCAATCCTATGATTCTATTCCAAATATATTCATGGCCTGCGTGCTGCTTTCGAGGCAGTTTTACGCTGTCTTAAATGCAGCTGTTAACAGTATTTTGTAGAGGCCGTCATAAAGCCAATAGAACTTGAAAACCGAAGCAGAATCGTTGGTGACGGCGTACGTATATACGGCCAAGGCTACTGCGTTGAGTGAATAATAGCTCCAAAACCTACGCCCCAGCTTTCCCTTTGTATATTGGATGGGCAAATTGATAGGACGGGTAGTGAAAGATGGTGAGAATTCTAACGGGAGGGGATCTGGACGAGTAACCAAGTTTACTCAATTCATTGAAATTCTTTATTTCTCCACCAAGCGTAAAAGGCCATATGTATCCGTAAGAGCAGAGTAAAAAAAGACCATATGATGCCATGACTTACTGATGAAGGTAAAAGATAAGGAGACAGGGGATATGTTAACTAGTCGGGGGATGGAAAGGGGAAAGGGGGACACTCTGCTTTCTATCTAAGATTATGAAACCGAGTGTACAATGACAAGCATTTTAGAGGGTTTTAAGATCGAGAATATTCAGGGTGATGGCTGTAGGAGGGACGAACGGGGGTGGTAGTGCAAAATGGGGAATAACATAACGGGTAGTTAGTTGAAGAAAAAGTGAGACATTAATACTCGGGTGTTCATTGGAAGTGTCTGCGAACCGCCATTTGGTTCTCAGGTCGAACAATGTTAAGGATCTGGTCTGCGTTTATACCAGTTGCAGCAACCAATTGTTTAGCCGCTTCAACAACCTTGGTACACACATTGCCCTGGAGGGTCTCAGCCTCAAGTGCTTGGACAATAGAGGTGAATACTTTCTCAGCCTTTGAAAGAACAGATGGGTTTCGCCTAGCAAAACTCAGAGTTAGAAAAAATATAAAGACTGCCCATACAGAGGGGGAACTTACTGGTCAATAAGCTGTGCGAGGAAAGCATATGCATATGGGGCTGCTTCCTCATCATTCTCAATTGGGAGTGTATCAATCCAACTATCAACGACTTCCTGAGGGTTGGGAACCTTGCTGGAGTTAAAGTGCAGTATCTTAGCTATACTGGCGGAACCGTTCTCGGTAGCAAACACATGTTCTTCCGACCTAGCATCCGCGAAACGGGTTACGGCAAATAGCATGGGAATACTGCCGGCCGCAAACTCGCTCCAGGCTTCTCCGCCTTTCTGAGCAGCAACTCCGACACCATAAGCAGCAGCCTGACGATTTGATGGGTTTTCATCTTGCATGCCGTCAATTAATGGTTTGAGAATATGGTCCTTGTAGTTCCAGGATTGATCGCCACAGAATTCAAGGACATCATCCAGGATACAAAGAACCCACTGCCGCTGCGTGGGGTCATCGCTGGTAACAAAGGAGTTGTAAAATGGTAGCAATTGCTCCCATGCGGGGAGGAAGGCTGGGCCATGATTCTTGAAGATGGTATGGAAAGCCTTGTTCATATCGCTTAAAAGGTTCTGATCCTCTTCCATCTCGTAATCGAAGGAGAAAGTGTCATCTTCACCGTCATCAAGCTCCGCCTTATCTTCGAGACGTTTTTGTACTCGTTTCTGGTAATCCTCAAGGGCACTCTTGGAAGATTCGATGAACGCTTGCATGTGCTGTGGGGAGAGACAATTCTTCCCAGCAACCTCCACGGATTCGTAGAAACACTGGAACATTTCTGCGAGTGTATCAATAGAGGGCTCTGCGGTGAGAATTTCAATGATCTTTAACAGGGCAGAGGACCACATTTGCTGGAATTCTACCGACTGCTCATTGTGGGACTTCTTATAAGCGTTCAAAAGACGTGGAATAAGCTTGGCAGAAGAGACTCGAACAGGGTCGTGGAAGAAGAAAGCCAAGCCGGGTATGGCAATTTCTTCCAATGTCTTAACAACATAGGGCTCAAATGCACCTTCGAGGACTTGGGCGTAGATAGTGATTAACTCAATGGCAGTATTCTTGTCTTCAAGGGTGCTGGTTCGGATACCAATGATCTTGTCCTTGAATGGGAGCAGTTCCCAGTTGTGATCTTGCTCAACATCTCGTAGAGTCTCGTCATTCTCCAAAATCTGAACATCTGCACTGGAGGCAGCAACTTGAAGCAAAGGCGGCATGACTGCGGGGAGATAGGGAACAAAGGCAGGTCCTAATACACGGCACATACGACCCCAGCAGTGAAGAAGGTAAGATGATTGTGGGTCATCAGGCTCGGTGATATTTTCTACACATATGCGCTGTTAGAGGATAGGTATTTGATATTCTGGCTGAATAGGTACTTACGCTGTATGTGGCCAAGCAATTGAACTAAGTTAATAGCATCTGCACCCATCTTCTCTCTACCAACAGCCAAAGCTATAATACGTTAATCTAATGAGGGAATATTCTATTAGAAGGAGTATCATAATACATACCAATAAGAGTTGCACACTCCATAGCCTTGGCGCGAACAACGAGGTATTCCTTTGATTGTTCTTCCTTGAGAACATTGAATAAAAGGGGCATCAAAGTATCGTAAAACTGTCCGAAGGCAGCTTCTGCGGAGTCCGCAATTGTGGCAATGGTGGAGAGAGCTTGTTCTTGAACATATCGCTTGGGATTTCGGAGAAGCTGGAGGAGATTCTGCAAGAGGTCTGGAAGATATGGCTCAAGGATAGCGCGTTCTGCCTCTTCGCAGAAGTTAACCAATGCAGCCGCAGCATGGGCTTGGACACGGGGGTGTTCAGATGTGAGAACAGGAATAATATTTCCAAGAACGATGGAGTGGTATTTTTCTTGCATAGTGCCAGCAAAATCAGTGCTCATCTGGCCCAAAGCATTGCATCCCGCAAAACGTACTCTGGGGTGAGGATCTCGGAGGGAAGGGATCACCAGGGCGAGAACCTGATTGAGTTCCCCAATCATCAGATCACGGCACCCTTCTGAAATGGCGGAAATAGCCATAAGAGCAGCGTGTCGATCGCGCCATGATGCCGAGTTCATCATTTTCGGGACCCAATTGAAGGTGGTAGGAAGGATGATTTGCCCTCCCAGCTTGTTGGCGAGGCGGTCCATGCATTGTTCGCCGGCAACATGGTTCTTATCACTCTCCTCCAAATCAAGCTAGAATTTGATCGTTAGGATGGGGAAAATCAACGTAAAACTGGAGAAATCAGTACTTACATCTTCAGATGCACTCCACTCAGCAGCATCGTCATCATCCTGACCAACATCGGTCATCAGACTTAGACATTGGGTGACCATTTCCTGGGCATATGTAGGGTCTTTCTTGCACATGGTTGGTGCATAGTCGGCAAAGGTAGCCATGAGTTCGAGAGCATTTTGCCTGACTTGTTCAGAGAGTTCTGCATCCCCAATGACTGTGACGCTAAACTTCACAAGCTTGTTGAAAAGACCCTTGAACATCTTAGGGTTGACTTCTGCGAGTTCCATCAAGGCAACAAAGGCCTTGGATAACTCCTCGCCCTGGTCACCCTCTTTCAGTGGTGGGAGGATGTTGAGTAATTCTGGAACAACGCCGAAGAACTTGGCCTGAGTCTTTTTGCTGATTGAGCGGAAGAATGAAGCAAACGCCTCCATAGCGGAGATACGGACCTATGACATGTTAGACGGGTAGCCCGCAGCACATGGAACTGTTTTACTAACAGAGACGTGATCATCCTGGAACCCCTTCAAGAAGACCCCCTGTACCATATCCTCATGCTGCTTTTCTATAATTGTGGGAGTAGCGGCAAATATACGGAATGCAGCCTCGCGGAGGCCACTAACAGGAGATTGACTGGCCTGGAACAGCACTGATAGGAGTTCTGGCCATGGTTCCTCTATGACAATATTAGTCTCGGGTACAGCACTTCAGTAGGAACGCAGCACGACGAGCTTACCTTGATCTGAGTACTGAGATGCGATTTCCGCGACTGCGTCTCCGATCTTGTTTCGAACAGGGGCAAAAGTCTCGTTACTTAGAGCCTCGAGCAGCTTCTGTCGAATGGCTACTCTCTGGTCTGGAAGTAAACTGAAAAACAGTTCTCTGGGATCACCGGTTGAAGGATTCTTTATCGATTTTGCTGCCATACGTCGGAAAATCACAGCTGCTAAAGAGCGGCCCTGCAGATTAGAAACAATCAGCACCTCGCTTTCCGCAATTGCAGTCTCCCTCATCTAAGCCAATGAAAGGGACAAGAAGCCGCTACAGCAGCTGGTTTCTTGTGCATTGTCAACTCACATTTGTGTCCTCGGAGCCCTGGATCTGCTCTGCCAGGCCCATCAACAAAACATCTGGACGGTTCTGAACCCAGTCGTTATTCAACTGCCCTTCAGCCTGGGCTCGAACACCGTTATCGGCAGACGAGAGGCCAAGTAACAGCTGCGACAGCGCTGTATGAACTTCCTGCGGTAGGACTGACATTTTTGCTTCTCTATATCACCACCGCCGGGTAAAGTACTTTTGGGGCAGCCGACGGTCTCTCGCACCGGTCGCCAGGCAACCAGGTAGCTTCTTCGCTCCCTTAACTAGTTCCAGCAGCAAGCAGATGATAATTGTGTGGACGGAGACAGATCGCTGTTCCTGGTATTTGACTGGAGAAGAGCTCCCTGTGGTGTGTCGCGGTTGTTGGTGGTGGGCGTCTAAAAAGTAGGAGGGGTGGTTTGTTCCTTTGTTTTTCCTCTTCCCTGGCGTTAGCTAAACAAACTAAAGCCACACTGACCGAAGCCCTGGATCACAAACAACAGCTCAGCGGCAGTGCATCGGCAGAGCGGCAGGCAAACTGAGCGCGTCCTGTTTCGAGCCGAAAGGCGTGAAGTAGTGAAGCCTCGAGATGCTGAAGATGTGCAGTAGAAGAAAAAAAAGGTGGGATGCTGGAAAGTGAAAGTGGTGGGTAGTTTTTTTTTTTTTTTTTTT